TTATATAAAATAATTATAAAAAAAAATTATTTCTATATCACAGCATTTTTTTTTTTCTCAAGGTTTTTCAAGTTGGAGACAAATATTTAGCAGTAGGCCTCTTACGCAACCATCAGGTGCCCTTACCCTTTCCCCAGTTCACTTTCCAAAAAATAAAGACTTTTTATGTAGTCTTCAGTTATTAAAGGCAAGAATTCCCAACAATCAAGGTACAAGACATAAGGTACTATTAGGGAAAATGAGTAAATCTGGACTAAACTGCAAACTATTAGTTGGTGGCATCGTTATTTTCCAAACTGCAAATCATTACTTGGTAGCATCGTTTTTGTCAAACTGCAAACTGTTACTTGGTAGCATCGTTTTTGTCAAACTGCAAACTGTTACTTGGTAGCATCGTTTTTGTCAAACTGCAAACTGTTACTTGGTAGCATCATTTTTGTCAAACTGCAAACTATTACAGTACTTGGTAGCATCGTTCTTTTCCAAACCCTTTTTCAAGCTGTAGTAATCAAGCTTTCAAAATTCAAAGTTTTAGATAAAGCGTCTTCTTATTGGTTTAAAATCAAGTGGTCAATTATCTTTTAACCAATTATATTATATTTTTATTAGGAAATCGCACATCACATTCCTATGTCAGTCAATAGAAATGACCGTTCGCCAATATGGAAATTGGTATCAACAAGAAAATTTAATGTTGGGATTGAAAGAAAAGATTCCCTCTCCTTTACTATATAAATAGGATTAGGAGATCACCTGATTAGCATATAACACTTGTAGAAACATTTTTAGTACTCAAATATGAAAAGTTCTCTAAAGTCTTCTCTTCTTCTCTTTCAGATTTTCTTGTTTTCCTTTCTTCCATTAAAGATCAGAGCTTCACCAAGAACACAAGCAGAAGCTCTTATACAATGGAAGAGTAGCTTATTTTTTTCACCACCTTCCCTAAATTCATGGTCCACCGACAATATTGGCAATCTCTGCAACTGGACTTCTATCAACTGCGATAGCTCCATGGGAATGGTATCTCAAATCAACCTCAGTAGTGCAAGCATAACCGGATCACTAGCCCAGTTCAACTTTACCCCATTTTCCAATCTGACCCTCTTTGACCTCCACAATAATAGTCTTGTTGGATCAATACCACCAGCCATTGGCAGCTTGTCCAAACTCACTTACCTGGACTTGAGCAACAATGGTTTGGTAAATATTGTGCCAATAGAGATAGGGCAGTTAACAGAGCTTCAGTATCTCAGCCTATTTAACAACAGTCTCAATGGAAGCATACCTTATCAGGTTAGTCATCTTCAAAAGGTATGGTACTTAGACCTTGGATGGAATTACTTAACAGATCCAGATTCGTCCAAATTCTTGGACATGCCTTCGTTAATTCATCTTGGATTTTCCAATGATGCACTCATATCAGTTTTCCCCCCTTTCATCACCAATTGTCCAAACCTTACTTTTCTAGACTTGTCAATCAATTCCTTGATTGGCCCAATACCAGAATCAGTGTTCACCAATCTAGGTAAGCTTGAGGCTTTCAATCTTAGTCATAATTCATTCCAAGGTCCACTGTCACCAAACTTTTCCAGGCTTTTTAATCTTGTAGCCCTTGAATTGGGAGCCAATCAATTTAGTGGTCCAATTCCCGATCTAAAAGGCCTTACATCACTAGAGACCCTTAATGTTTCACATAATCATCTCTTCGGCAGGATCCCGTCGAGCTTATCTAATGTGAGTAGTCTCCACACGTTTGATTTCTCCTATAATGAGTTGACAGGTCCAATTCCAGCTGGTGGACAGTTCCAGAATACTTCGAGTGAAGCATTTGTAGGAAACTCAGGTTTGTGTGGAAATGTTGATGGTTTGACCCCTTGTAGTTTGAGTTCCAACAATAGCAAGCCCAACAAGATTAATACCAAGATTCTTATTGCTATCCTTGTTCCTCTTTGGGCCCTTTTAGTCCTAATATCAATTGCTGTGATGATTCTATTGCGTTATGGTTATAACAAACTGCATGATGAGGAGGCCAAAAGTAGTAAAACCTCTAAGAGTTTTGAGACAATGATATGGGGAAGGGAAAGGAAAGTCACGTATGGTGAAATTGTAAGAGCTACAGAAGATTTTGATGATAACTACTGCATTGGAAAAGGAGGATTTGGAAGGGTTTACAAAGTCTTGTTGTCCAGAGATCAAGCAGTTGCTGTTAAAAAACTCAACATAAAAGACTCCAGTGATATCCCAGCTACAAATCGCCAGAGTTTTGGGAATGAGATTCGTGTTCTGACAGAAATTAGGCACCGAAACATCACTAAGCTATATGGATTCTGTTCGACAAGGGGATGCATGTATTTAGTTTATGATTACGTTGAGAGAGGAAGTTCGAGAGATTTACTGTATGGATTCGGAGGAGTGGATCTGGGATGGGCTCAAAGGGTGAGAATTGTGCAAGGATTTGCTCATGCCCTCGCATATTTGCACCATGACTGCTCTCCACCCATTGTTCACGGACATATATCTTTGAATAACATCTTGCTTGATTCAGGACTAAACGCAAGGCTCTGTTTTGACACTCCAAGGTTGTTGGGTCCAAATTGTTCCAACTATACAATAGTCTCTGGATCTTATGACTATACCCAGGCCCCAGGTATAAAGCTCTCATTTCATAGATGCATGTAGATTGATAATGTTTCCTTAGCAGCCACATCTAACATATTGTTTTCTTAATTTTCAGAGATTGCGCTTGCAATGCGAGGGACAGATAAATGTGATGTTTATAGCTTTGGGGTTGTGGCATTAGAAGTTATGATGGGTAGGCATCCGAGGGAGCTGCTGGACTCAGAAAACAACGAACTACTTGTGCAGAAGGTGCTAGACCCTCGACTCCCATTTCCCACCGGCCAAATTAAAGAGGAAGTCGTGTTTGTTGTCAAGATAGGCTTAGCTTGCACAAGAAAAGTGCCAGAGTCCCGACCCACCATGCTTTTTGTGGCACAAGAATTGTCCGCAAGAACACAAGCCTAATGGAAGAGTGAATTTTACTTGGATGCTCAATAATGGTTTAATTATGTTAGACGCATTGCCATTGCCTATTTACCCCTTGTGTTGGAGTGCATCTAAAGCATGGGTTATAGCCTATTTTCCAAAGAAAAAGAATAATGTTATATGTATTGGAGCATGTGCTGTGATTTGCCTTCTTGTATTTTAATATATATTAATAAAATGATATCAGATAAAGATATATGTTTGTCTTTTATGTTTTCCATCAATTTCTCCCCTGTTTTTTCTCTTCCATTGAGTCCACTGTGCTTTATCTTCTGATCTCCATCAAAGTGGTACTAGAGCTATATTCTTGAGGAGCCCGTGAGAGAGTGGAAACTGTTGGAGCTATGGCATGAAAGCTGAAAAAGAAATGAAATGATGCTGCAACATGACTGTACCATAGCAGCAACTGACAGCAGCATGGAGCTTCACATCGGCTACAAGAAATGGCGGCAGACTTCATCATTTTAGTCAATGATTTAAGTAGTTAATAATTATTGTGTTAGGTGAAAAAATATTATTGTTTCATGTGTAGCCTTCCTTTATAAAAAAGAAGAAAGAAATTGATGAAAATCGAGAGAAAGAGAAAGGGCAAAAGGTGCAGATCACCCCCTCAACTCAACAACTGGTGGCAAATCACCCCCTCAACCCATTTCACGCGCAAATCACCCCCTCAACTCACCTGCAGTGGCAAATCACCCCCTCTATTAACACCGGCACTATTCTTTCGTTAGTTTTAACAGTCCATTCACCCACCCTCTGTTAAATCAGAAATTCCAGCTGCAAACAAGATCATCTCACTTGCCAAGTGTCATTGTATAAGTGGATTGTAATCTAGTATCTAATGCCATGTCAGCACCATCTCCAACTAGTTTCTTCTTCCTCGTTTCTCTGAGAGCAGATAAGCAGAGAACCATGCAATGGAAGCCCTAAATGCAACAAGCTTGACACCTCTTTCTTCAACTCGTCCTCTGCATTTGACATGGCTTGTTTATGTAATCAGAGTCACCATTTTCATTCAAACAACAAACCCAGATAAAAAGAAAAGAAAAGAAAAGAAAACCACATATGAGCATCATGAATCATAAACAATTTCACATGCCAACATCCATATCCCATGTGATCTTCTTTTTCTTCCCCAAAATTATTAAGTGAGGACTAAGGAGGGGACTGGACTTACCGAAGGTAGCAGTGGAAAAGGTAGGAGTTCCGTCAATGAAATTTAGCTTGCCGGTAATGATGGTTTTTGTTTTTCCTTCCCCAAACATTATCACATTCCACTTGCTCTTGTCTAGATTCACATTCTCCTTATACGTCCTTGCCTTCACCTTTATAATAAATCTAGCCTTGCTCTTATTCGGCACTGCCGCCACCGCCTCTCTGATTGTTTTGTACTTACCGGATCTGTCCTATGCCACTATTAAATCTGGAGAAGGGGTCGTTTCCTGCAGCAGCCTCCTGTCGTCGGGGCTAACCCAACTCGGAAAGTCCGACTCTGTTTCTTGGACTCTGGGTAACTTCCTGTGAATTGGGATGTTGAAATCCGCCAGTAGGCTTAAGATTTTAGTGACAATTGCCAGACTATTACTTGCAAATTCGGTGGAATTCTGCATCGTCATTTTTAATTCGTCATGAATCGCCAAGTGCTCTGTCCCGTTCAATTTGTCCAAGGCATCAAAGCAGGTTTCTTGATCGGTAATGGAAGCGCTGAGCCATGTCTTCAAAGTGTCGATCTTCAAAGTCGATAGCAGCTTCTCCCCCTTGCCAACTTCCATTGTGGAAACCGACTCATTGAGTCGATCCAGCTCGTCGTCAATCACGGTGGCGCAGACATCCAACATAGCCTTGACACGGGTATCCATGATTTTCCCCTTTAGCTGGTCAGGGTAAACGGAGACCTTCATGAGATCATCGACGACCACGCAGAGAGCTAGCTTGAAGATGACTTCTGGGTCGGTGGTATTCTACGGGATCGACGGAGGAAGGGCTAATGAGCAAACTGTTAAAACTAACGAAAGAATAGTGCCGGTGTTAATAGAGGGGGTGATTTGCCACTGCAGGTGAGTTGAGGGGGTGATTTGCGCGTGAAATGGGTTGAGGGGGTAATTTGCCACCAGTTGTTGAGTTGAGGGGGTGATATGCACCTTTTGCCAAGAGAAAGCATGGTTTCTCCTCTCCGGTTGGGTGAATGTCTGCACCCTTCCATGTTTATGGCTTTATGTTCTATGTTACGTTGTGTTGTTTATGGAAGAAAAATGGGTTCTGACTTCACCAAAAGAGGGAACGCCGGGTGTCTCTCCTACTCTCCTCCAAGTCCTCTCTCTCTCTCAAACCCTTCTTTTTACCCCCAAAAATCTAACAGAAACATTAGTGTATGTGAGGGAGTGTGCTGTGTAATTAAAAAACACAGCTATGTCTTCAAACAAACCATGGAAGCTCTCTCTCTAATCCTCCTCTGTTTACCGGTTAAAACTACAATGTCTGGGCCGTCAAGATGAAGGTCTTCTTGAGAGGTAATGATGTGTGGGAATCTGTAGAAAAGGGCTTCAATCCTCCATGGTTACCCCAAGATCCAAGTTTGGGTCAGTTGAAGAACCACGCCGATTATGTTGCAGGATCCTACAAAGCTTAGTCGTTCATACATAGTGGGCTTTCTGGTGAAATTTTTCCTAGGATTATGAGAGCTGAGACAGCTCAAGTAGCATAGGAAAAATTGAAGAAAGAATGCAAAGGAGATGAAAGGGGCAAGGGCCAGAAAATAGTTACTCTCAGGATAGAGTTTGCCATGTTGAAGATGAAGAATACAGACTGTTCATCAGTATTCTTCAAAGGTGATGGATCTGGTTATTCAAATCAGATTAAATGGTGAGGACTTTCCTGATGCCAGGGTTGTGGAAAAAATGATGATCCACTTTCTTGATAAATTCGAGTAAAAAATTTCTGCAGTTGAGGAGTCCTGTGATTTGAAGGTAATAACGGTTGCTGAATTTATTGGCAAGTTGCAAGCTCATGAACATCGGGCTGTCCCAAGAGCTGAAGAAACAGCTGAGGGTGCATTCCAGGCTAAGGAAAAGCAACATGCAGCTGGTTATGGAAGAAGGCAGCTTCCTAGCAAAGCTGAGAAAGGAAAAGCTGTTGATGTTCAATCACAGCAGCTACAGAAGGACAAATTTCCACCATGTCCTACTTGTAAGAGGACAAATCATGAAGAAAAAGATTGCGGGTATAAGTGGAAGCTGTGGTGATTCCTGCTAGTGAAGAGATGCACGCAGGCAAATACAGCCATCCGTGGATTTTGCCAGTCCTCTAGAGTCTCAGAGGTAGAGTTCAATGACACATCACTTGATTCTTATTTTTCTTCAAGAGTTCAGCTTTCTGGTAAATGTGTGTAAAAATGATCATAAATTGGTTTTTCTGTGCACGTGTCTGTGTGAGTTTTGCTGGTTCCTTGTGTTCTGAAAATATTTTCCAGGCCACGGGACCAATGCTACATTATGTTAATGGAACTGGAATTGCAGTGACAGGAGATGAGGCAAACTGTGCAAATGTTATACTTGTACACAGCTCATGCATTGAATGGTATTTCATCTGTCATTCTGTTTACTTGTATTTGAATGAGTGGGATATTATGCGTTTTTGGTATAGGACCAAATTCCTGTAAAATGTAATCATGGTGTGCTAGATTAGTTTCACTTGTGACATTTCATTTCTCTTTCTATTTGAGGAAGATTAATAACACCTGAAAACACCGGGCACCACAAGTGTACTGTGCTGATGAATCTGTCAAGAATCTGAAGGCAGAATTGGTTAGGGGTTCAAAGCTCAAGTGCAGCCAATGCAGGCTGAAGGGAGCAGCACTAGGCTGTTATGTGAAATCCAGCAAGAGAAGTTATCATGTTCCGAGTGCAAAGGAGATTCCTAAGTGCCACTGGGACTTTGCAAGTCCACTACCCCTTGTTCCCTTGTCTATTTTTTGTGGCTTGAGTTGTATGGCCAAGAATGTTTTTGTTTCTGTACCTTTGTTAGAGGATGAGTTGCTTCTGCTCTGTCCATCTCAGTCTTCAGTCAAATTTCCAAGTAAGAGGTTTGGAAATTCTACCTCAAAATATTGTGCAGCAACAACTCAAATGTAAAACCTCGATCTCTAATCTCTTGTACTGCTTTATTGATCGGCAACTGAATTGTTTTACTGGATATCTTTTCAATAGTATTTTTTTGGTTTATGATGTTTGATTAACTGTTTGGTTAGTCCCATTGGATAAATTTTGTTTATCTTTAAAGTGTTGTTGTTCTGCTGCTTCTTCTCTTCGATACTTGTAATAGATTTCCGCAGTTTGAATATTGATAAGTATCTGTCTTTCTTGAATTGCTTAAGCCCACCTTTTGCAAGTATTAAATTTATGAGCAATTGCCTCTGGTTCTTTTTTGAATGAAGTGGCCATGTTATTTTTCATTTTATCTCAGAATCTCTAGTCACTTGTTGGTCATGATGCATAACCTGAATTTTTTAACATTCTGAAAAGGGGTTTTATAGTTGTTCTGATTGCAGAGCTCCATCAAAGTCTAACTTCTTCTGGAAGCAGCCAGATGGCAAAAAAGAATGGGTTTTCTGTGGATCAGCTCTGTCGTCTAAGGTCAGATGAGCTAAGCTGATGTTTGTTTTTTTGTATCGTTTATTTCCTATGATTCACTTGAGTTGAAGTTTGTTGTATTATTCTTTCTGCATATTCCAAACCTATTTGAAGTTTTGAACTTTTTCAATGCTTTAAGAAAATTCATTTTATCTTGAAAAAAATCTGAATTTGGTTGAATCTTTGACATTTTTGACAGAATTCCAGAACAGGATAATCTGATATTTACCTTGTCCTTGTAAGAAGTAGATATTTTTGTTGATAGGTTGTGACCATCACAAAGAGTTATGCTTTGTGTATAAGATGGATGATGATTTTGCCACTCATAAATTTGGTCCTTTTGACAAAAGCTCTTCCCTGATATTCATTGTGCCACTAATGTAGTTTCTTTTGGTTGAGTTTGCAAGCATGATTGGTGCAAGTGTGACAAAGTTTTGAAGTCCACACGTCATTGCAGCTACAGATGCGAATGGTGCAGGCACTAGAACCCTTAAAGTTCTCATGGCCGTTTCAAATGGGAAGCGGGTTCTTAAACCGGGTTGTAAGTACTGTTTCTTAGAGCCTTTACCCCTCCCTTTAATTTAAGTTTTTTCAATAGGTTTTTGAAAAATTGAAAAATTCACTGTTGATAAAATTGAAAGCTGGACTTGGCAGGGATAAAAGCGTGCAAAGAAGCTATGCAGCCTGTTGATGAAGAAAGATATGAAATTAGTCTTGATAATCATGGTGAAAAACTTTAATAAGGCTTAAAAGAAGAGAAACTGAGATTGTATATTTCTCTTTATCTGATCCATGTTCAACATAGGAATATATATACATATACAGCCAACGTTCAACTCCTAAATTAGTGCAGTTGGCCTTGATTTACTATAATGGAAAATCATTCTATTAATTATTTTGATTTTGTTATCTCTTGACCGTTGTTTGCTTTGATATTTGATTTCTGCATACTTTGCTCTTGATTTGTGATTTCTGCTTCCTTGTTCTTTCCTTGTTGGTCATGTACTTGTCTCTTTCCTTTCTGATTGTCTAACTTTCCTTTCTGTTCTCCATGATGTTCGTGATTTGCTGTGATAGTCTTCATACGTGGATGTCATGATGGCCCTAAAACTGGCAGACTTAGGGTATTAAATAACGTAAGTCCTTTTCTTCCACATTCCCTTTTTTATAGTTGTTCTTCTTTGCTAGTTATTTCTCTAATTGACAAGCAATAACTTCGCAAGTTTTTTTTTTCACCTGACATGTTTTCAAAATCTAAATTTTTGGAGTAACCATATTCCCTAGTCTGCCACTGTATGTTTGAACAATTGCTGTCCTCAGAATATGTAGTTTTGATATGGTAGCTAGTTTCTCTCTTTAATACTACTCTCTCTCACGGTTGGAATGAATAGTTTGTTTCTGTCTCTTGCAGGAACCAAAGCTCTTTCATGGCTTTAACTTTTATTGTGGGTGACTTTGTATCTGCTTACAAGCAAGATCTTATAAATTTGGTAGTTGCAGCAGAAGGTATAGTTTCGACTATTAGTGAGGAACTACTAGGATGGTAATACTCATGACCAGGCAGCAGCTCTATCAAGTAGAGTTGTGGTGTATAACCTTGATCCCCCGGAGGGATCTGAATTAGAAGAAGAAGTTTCAATTATGTGGCAGAGAATTAACGAAGCGCAAGAGTTGGCTACTAAAATTGGAGGACAAGTCACTGGTCACACATGGCTTTTGGAATCAATTGCAGCGTATAAATTGAAACTTTTAGGACCAAGCCTTGTCTGCAGCTAATAGGTTTATGCTTGTCTAACTTGAAAACCCTGTCACTTCTTTGCTAATTGATTACATATATCTACATATATCCGTAGTTTAGATTAGAATATTGTATGAATCCTTTGAAATGGATAATGAAGCGAAATTTTTTTGATTTAGAGTTCAATCATTCTAGGTAATCTCTTTCTTGATTGATCATTGGGACAGGGCATTTTGAAATGAACAACTGAAGTTATTTATGATTTCGACTCGACACTCAACGGTAATGATATAGGATTATACTGTCATTGCACCAATGGCCGGAGTGTCCTATCAGCTTCGACTCATCTTCAGGACTTCATCTTGTGGTGAAGCTTTGCAAAGGTTCAATGGTTTCCTGCAAGTCCCTTTTTGATTCTGTCACCTCTTGATTATATACATAAAACCTAGCCACAACCAAGAAGAAGAGGAAGTTAAGGAATCCCAGAATAGCCAAGAATGTGTAATAGTAGTCTAAATGAGAGATGTTCAGGTTATCCAAGATCCAGCCCTTGCGTCCATGTCTCTTGGTAATATCAGATACTGTTGTGAGAATAAAACTGCCCAGGAAATGCCCAATCCCCAAACTGCTAGTGAAATATGATGTTCCAAGGCTCTTCATACCTTCTGGCGCCTGGTCATAGAAAAATTCCATCTTTGCTACTTCCACAAAGTTTTCTGCTACCCCCATCAGGGCAAACTGAGGCAGGAGAATGAACACAGTTAGAGGAACTGTGTCATTCTTACCAAAAATATGGTGCTCTTTCGCAACACTCAGTCTCTTCCTTTCAGCCATGCAAGCAATTAGCATGATTATGACATGCAGCACAAAGCCAACTCCCATTCTCTGAAGCAATGTGATTCCCCTGGGATTTCCGGTGTACTTCCTAACAGCCGGAACAAATAAGCGGTCGTACACAACAATGCTGATCAGCATGAAGATTGTCACGAATGCAGTAAGACAGGCTGGAGGGATGTCAAACTTCGGACCCATGCTCCTGTGCAGAGTTGTTCCTTGTTTCACAAACAATGTGGCCACTTCAGATGTCATGGTACTTGGTATGAATGATGCAACCAGGATTGGCACCATTTTTACCATTTGCTTGGTTTGTTCCACTTGTGTCACTGGACACAGCATCCATGGTGAGGTCGCTCCTGTCTTCACTGCAGCTTTGTCAAGAAACCTGCAAAACAGGTATCCGAATCAAATCAAAGACTTAATTGGATTCCTAACATAATGAATTGACATAAGCGATTGACCTTAATGAAGGAGTGTAATCTATTCTAAAGTATCCATGTTTTGTATATTCCTCCATGCTAAGCTCAAATAGCTCTTCTGGGTCATTGGGGACAGCCACATTGCACTTCCTAACCGCAGCCACCACCACCTGAAGAATCCTTGCCACTGGACTCCCCAAGACCGGCTTGTGCCGGTAAAACGGAGTCCCCACTACAAACACAAGTACAGAAGCCAGAAGGCCGATCGTTGGCAGCCCATAGCCAAGGCTCCATCCGACGTTGTCCTGGATGTAGATCAAGAAAGTGTTGGAGAACAGGGTCCCGAAGACAATGCTGAACATCCACCAGTTGAAGAAGGAGAGCTTCTGGAACCTCTCCTTGGGCTCGAAATCGTCAAACTGGTCTGCACCCATGGTTGAGATGTTGGACTTGGTTCCACCTGTACCCAAGGCGATTATGTACAGGGCACAGAAGAAGATACCCACTTGGAAAGTAGACGCCTTTTCGTCGCAGTCGGCGTCTTTGACACCAGGGCAAGTCGGAGGCCTCATGCCGGGCACCGAGACAGCCAAGGTTAAGAGGCACATGCCCTGTGTCACAATGTCAAATAGTGATTTTAAAAAACTGCATTTTGACTCAGATTCAGCTTTTACAATAGAGAAATTTTTTGCAAAAGCTGGACCAAACAGACACTTTTGAAACGAAATGTAAGAAAAGGCAAATTAAGTATTTGTGGATGGATGATTTTTGTGAAAGTAAAGTTTAATACCGCAATGTAAATAGCAGATGCAAGCATAAAAGTCCAGTAGCGGCCGAGGAAAGTGTCAGCAATGTAAGCACCTAAGATGGGGGTCATCCAGACTGTACCAATCCAGTTGGTGACATTGTTTGAGGATTCCACAGTGCCTTCATGGAGTTTCGTTGACAAATAAATCACCAGGTTTGATGCTATCCCATAATATGCCATTCTCTCAAACACTTCATACCCTACAAACAAAAAAATTCCATTCAAATGCCTGTATAAGATCCTTATTCCGATTCATGGCATCACAATCTTTCCTACCCTCTATTAAGACTGCACCCCTATTCATGAATTATCATTTCTCCAACCCTCTATTTTCTTTGAATTTGCATGGGCAAAGCCCCAAACAAACTCAAGACAACACCTAATCGCAAAAAACTACAGATATGAGACGAATAACTTACCTACTATGAAGGAACAGGCTCTCCACCTTCCAGTTTTGGACCTTAATACAGGTCTACCCTTGAGATCCACAGTACCATCTTCAGTGTAGTCATCTCTCCCATCTGCAGGACCCTTTTCTTCTACCTTGGTCATTTTTTGCAGCCTGATAATTCAGAGATCTCAACTAATTATATAATCAGCCACCCCCTTCTTAGACTCTTAATCTTTGTTCCTGTTCATGAACTCATTTAATATGCCTTTTTATTGATTTTATGATTAATGACAGATAACTTATTTTGCCGTTTTCTCTAACTACTTTTGTTGTAAGTATTATGTGTCTCCCTCAAAATTATCGACCAATGAAGTGAAAAATAATGGAGTGACAATGTGATAGTGGCGTTAAAAATAAGCTGAGTAATAACAGACAACATTGGGAATATGATTTTTCAAACAAAAAGCCTAAGAAAATATTAGCTGTTCATTCTTTCCTAATCACGTTTATTAGTTTCTACACTATATACGCATCAGCACGTGTCGATTATTTTCTTGAGGAGGACTGATTCATGAATTGGATACATTAGGATGAACGGAGATTGATTTTCCAAATTTCAATGTATTAATTACAGATGGTCCAACACTTGCAGCCTTAGCTGTGTCGGACAGTGCACTTATAACGTTCGTCATGGTTTGAATTGTAAGGATGATATTTTCCTTGAAAAAATAACAAAATTAAAGATTATCTTTTTGTCATTTTTAATGTGTATTCTGTGCCCGTGGATGGTGGTTCAGGTAGCTGAAGTGACAAATTGTAGGGGGCTAATAGGTTGAGCAAATTGAATATAAAAGGAGAGAAAGAGATAATGACAACAAATATGTTTGAAGACCGACAAATACGACCATGGAAGCAAAAAGACAAAAAGAAACTTCTCATCATGGGTAGGGGTCATGAAAATTTGATCATTAGAAGTAGACAACAGGACGGGCAACGTGCATTGCCTTTTGGTATGTATTAAGGATTGCAAATTTTGCCTCTCTAAATGCAGCATAGCTTAGGGTGAGCTTAAATCAATGCAGAAGTTTAATTTTAGACACATACTCGCTAATAAGTTAATGCTAGAACATATTTCCTACGATAGGAGGCTGGACGCACACATTTTCTATCGTTAATTAGAGAAAAAATGGGCCAGATTAACATCCATGGGGTGGTGGCGCAGTTGGCTAGCGCGTAGGTCTCATAGCTTCTGAGTTATCCTGAGGTCGAGAGTTCGAGCCTCTCTCACCCCATTCTTTTTCATTTTTTTAACTAGGCCCAACATCACGGCCTTTTTTTTAAACGGATAATGGCCCAAAGGGCCTAAAGGCCATAAACTCATTTTTTTTCTTAATTAAAAAAAA